GGGGCCTGGGAAAGACTGTACCAGCAACTGCAGTTTTTGTTCTGAACACATTTACAAAAGCACTTTACCACACAGGCAGCTGCATGTTTTCTTTCATTTACTTACTTTTTCTAGCCATCTTTTCTGCCTCAAAGCTTTAGACTTTCCCAGTTTCTCATACAACTATCAGACTCTTCCTCTTCAACCTGTGTCTTTCCTCCATAGTAGGGCCATGCCAGTGGTAAATTGCAGCTGATTTCAATAGAAACAAGATTGGGCCAGGGAAGAAGAGGAGGGAATTAGCAGCAGGCACAGATTAACCTGACCGAAAGGGGGGTGGGCAGCACTCCCACTGGCATCAGTGAGCATTGTGAAGTTAGCCCTTCAGATAAGAATGCAAATGTCCTTTTGTCATATTTTTTAATAAAGACTTTTACCCCTCCCCCATATTTAACCCCAAATTGCAGGAGTCAGTGGGGCTCTGTGGTAAAAGCCTGGGAGTGGGAATTAGGACACCTATGCTTTATTTTTAGCTCTGCTCTCTGTGTGACTTTGGTCAAGTCACTTTACATGCCTGTGCTTCAGATTCCTCACTGGTAAAGCAGGACAAAGAGATGTACCCACCATTGTAAAGCACTGAAATAATGCGAAAGTGCTAAGGAAATAAACCCAGTTCTGCTCTCAGTCAGGGCAGTGTATATCCAAAGTAGTTCCATTGGCATTAGTGGAATTATTCTAGCTTTACACTAGTGAAATTGAGAATAAAATTTGGCCCAATGGTTTATAACATTTTCCACGAAAAATCAGCTGCACTTTAAAACCCACCTCCATCTGCAGGAATCATGAAAATGTGCCTGTTTGTATCTGATTTAGGAACATTATGGTACTTTTCCTTCCATTTTAATGCTGGGTATTTAATACTGGAAAGGCTTTTCCCTTATGTGTAAGGAAAAGGGATTTAATGAACCACAGAACTGGATACTTTACAAAGTACATGCATATTCAGCTCTTTTTTCTGGTTAAAGAACATACAACTGGCATGGAAAAGGCCCAAGCAACTGCTTTCAGAGGAGCATGGCCCTCAGCAAGAACAGAATAAACTTCCAGCTCAATTGTCTTTGTTTTTAATGCTGTGAGTTTGCTGTATGCTCACTACATGTTTTACCAGAGCCAAAGCTGGTCCCTGTTAGTTGCTCTGCATAGATTAAATGGTTGCAATGTTTTGAGAATGTTGGGATAGATGGTTTGTGGGCTCACCATCTGTTTCTTATAATGCGTAAACAAGGAAAATTGCTGGTTTGAAAGGCAGGATTTTTCAAAGCCAGATGACCACAGGCATTCTTGAGAAAAAAAGACAACCTAGAGTTCATTGACATTTGTCAGGAAGTAAATTCCTAAACACCAGAAAAGGCCACTAGCCGTACCAGGGGGAGATAAGAGAGGAAAGGTTTTCTTATACTGATATTGCCTTTCTTCTGAGGTCTTTAACATTAAATTACTAAGAACTATTTTGGCTTTTAAAAAGTAAAGATTAAACAATTAGGCCAAGATTTTTAAAAGCGACTTGTGAGTTTGGTGCCTTCATTTTGTCCAGATTCATCACTGTAAAAGGGTCTGATTTTCTGAAAGTGATGAGCATCCACCACCCTCAGAAAATCAGGCACTAATCACTTTTGAGAGACCTTATTCCCACCCATTGCAGATTATCTGAATTTGTGAAACAGCAAGGGAGCAAACACACACAATAAAAAGGATACTGCATCACAAAATGTACTTGGCTTATTTCATTTTGACAAGTCTAGTTTGGTTTTAGTTACTAAGGATCATACATCATAATGTATTAGTTATGTACAGCAGTACATTGGGTAAAAAGAACAGGCATTTAAGTTAATTTAAGACCTTGTTACAGTAGACAACTATTACAGCTTTTTCTGAGAAATGTGGGGAGAACTCTGTGGTGTGCTGTAAAAGAATAATTGGATGTACAAGATTCTACTGCATGACAGAGATCGTGGTTTTGAGGATATGCTTCTCCTATAAATGTTTGGAGATACAATACAGCTTTTGTTCTATGTATACATCATCCTACAGAGGGTTGGGATGTCATTTAAACTGATACATTGCCATTCAGGCATATAATTTCAAGAACATAAAATGCTGTTAACAACAACAGACTTTTGTTTGTTAATAGCCGCACATAAAATCCAAAATGATGTGGTTTAGGGCTCGATCTTGCAAGCCCTCAGTGCCTGAAACTGTCACTGATATCAATGAAGTCCATTTATGGAGGACGAGCAGCACTGGGAATCTAGCGTGCCTACTTTCAAATACAGTTTGGCTGCTCTATGGCTGACTCCCAGTGCCCTTTACTGTAAAACAGCAGTTAAGAATTAAGAAACTTTGAATTTCAACAATTTAGCAATCACTCGCCGCCCCTCCCCAGGGCTGCACTGGTATCTTTGGCTGTGTTCCAGAGCACTACAATTCTTCAACCCTGCGGCTGAGCATTTCCCCCATAATCTAGTAAGCAGCCTGACGTCAGAGTTTTCACATTCGAGAAAGGATTAAAGATGATGGCTACCCAGGGAACAACCTTTTGTTTCTAATTTGCAATGTCTGCTCTACTGGAGGATCACTTGTAAAACCCTGGGGGCTTATTATTGATGCAAAATAGTCACTGCAATTTAGAAACCCCTGGAAGGGACAGTGAGGAAACATGGTTAAAAGCCGCGTCCTTTGATTCCAAGGTATTTCTCTTACACTATGGTGCTCAGCATTACTATGGAAACCTGTTAGTAGGCCAGGTGAGGTTCATTGTGTTTGCATTACATTAATACCTGTCTTTGACTGGTGTTTGGTGCCACACTTGGAATTCAACACAGCATCTGCCAGTCTAGTAAAAGTAAGCTAATAATGCCTTACATTCATATCATGCCTTTCGCCCTAAAGGATCCCAAAGCACATTGCAAACTATATATATTGGCCAGATTCACTCCAGGATCTGCTCCAGCGTCCCCTGATGGCAGAAAGACCGCATGAAGAAAGGGTAGATTGCTATTCCCCCTACCCCACTTCCCCAGGGAGTCCACAGGCAGACAACACAGCCCCAGAAGTGTGTAACCATGGCCAGGGATGGGTAATGACCAAGGTGATCTCTTATGAAAAAGTCCTGTAGAATTTAATGGCAAGTGAGAACGTTCTCATAGGTTTTCTGTTTAATCGTCCGATAAAATTTAATGGAGAATTCTATTCCTGATATAGAATTCTATAGGAAAGAGATCCTCCTCTATTAAATTCTATATGTTTTTACATTAATTTCTATAGAACCTATTAATTTCACCTCTATTAAATACCCGCCTGGCATCCTAGTGGAAATCAGAGCCTCCAGTGGAAATTTAAACAGTTGGAGCCTTCCCCCATCCTCTGGCAGAAACCCAAGGGTAGGGTAACTATGAAAGTACCAAGTATCAGAGGGGTAGCCGTGTTAGTCGGAATCTGTAGAAAGCAACAGAGGTCCTGTGACACCTTTAAGACTAACAGAAGTATTGGGAGCATAAGCTTTCGTGGGTAAGAACCTCACTTCTTCAGATGCAAGTCATGAAAGTATGAAAGTACCATTTACCATCCCCCAGAAGTAAATGCTACTCCTCTGTCCTCCCAGGCCATCTTAACTTCCTTACATCAGCCAGGTTGAATCCGGCCCAGGCTATTCAGGAATGACACCAGCCCCCTCTGCGGAGGAATTCAGCAGCTGTTTAACGGTGCAGAGGAAAATGCCACAAAACACGTAGGACAGGAAGTGAAGAAGAACAGTGTATTCCATTGAATTTGCAGGGAGAATAGAGATCTGCAGAGTGTAAACATCAGGGACTCAGTCCTGCAATCCATAGTTAGGCAAAACTCACAGTGGGATTTGGCTAGGCCACTGGGACTTACTCCTGTAAAAAGTGTTGTTTGATCTTTACCAACAGTGTGCTCAGGAATTCTGTTTAATAGCTCACCTACATTTACAAGGAAAATTAAGTGACCCTTGTTCACAATTCTCCTCAGCTGAACCTGAAACCATTTCTTGTACAATCCTATGACATTCTGTCATTGTGTGTCTTTGTTCTGCTGTATATTTCTTTACTGGAGCTAAATTGTACAGACAGAATTTAGAGTATATCACTATTTCCACTATAAACACTGTTTTTCAGGGAGTTATGTAACAACATTTCTTTTAAACCAAACTATACTGAACTCTTGCCATGCAGATGGTTGTCCCAGATGTAAGGTATTTATTTTTAACCACATTTTATTTGAAGTAAGTGTGAGCAGTTTACTTACTTCAAATAGACATAAGCAATGTCAATTCTCACCATCACAGAGATGTTTTGTCACGTAGTGTAGTTCAAGAACAGCTTAAATTTTCCAGTCTGTTAGCTGCTAATGTGGACTAATTACACTTAAGCCCCAAGAGTAAATTTCCTGCTTTAGCATCTTCCATTTAAAGGAGCTTCAAAGCCACAACAAATGCTCCATTGTTTAGGACTTGCTCACACAAGTAGTCCTGCTGAAGTTCCTGGGCCACTCACGTTAGTAAAGGTTGAAAGATTAGGATTTTAGGCCCAGATCCTCAAAGGTATTTAGGGACCTAACTCTCGTTGTAATCAGTTGGTACCTAAGTATCTCTGAGGCCAAAGATTAGGATCATAGAGCCTGATCCAGCAAGGAATTGAGCACCAGTCGAGGTTATTCAACTCCTTAATAAAAAACTACTGCAGGAGCATTTTATACCAGTGGCAGAGCTGCTCAAAGAAGAAATAATGGTTTCATTGTAACCAATAAGTATAGTTTTGGAATACACTTTAAAAAAAACATCAGACGTCTGTAGGGACTTTCATTAATAAAATTGCCAGATAAAAAGTGTAGAAGTTAATAACACTGGAATGTTTGTGTAGAGAAGCATATCCAATTACAGACAGAACATGCTGAGTGCCTCAAGTAATTTTGTTTTCATCTCCTTCTCTTTTAACCCACAGGTAGTAACTCCAGTCAGGACAGGACAAGGTTATGTTTATGAGTTCCCTTCCAAATACCAGAAAGATATCTACGATACCCCTCCAGTTCGTCCTTCCCAAGGGGTACGTACCAATAAAACGGTCAGCGGCATTGAAAAGCTACAAAAAGTCTTTCCATTTTATCTGCAGTTGAAGTGCAGGAGACATTATGTCATTCCAAAGTGAAAATATTTTTCAATTAGGGCAGGTCTACGCTACCGCTTATGTCAAAATAACATGTTTTCAGGGGTGTAAAAAAGCCACCCCTCTGAATGACTCAAGTTACACCGACCTAAGTGCTGACGTGGACAGCGCTATGTAGGTGGGAGACGCTCTCCTGCCGACACAGCTACCGCCTCTCTCCTGTCTGCATATAGGGTCGTCACCAGGCATGCTACAGCGGTGCGTACTCCGATGAGATGTCCTTTTCTATGTCATTGTGCACAAAATGCATTTGATGTTAAGATCTGGCAGTACACAAACATCAAAATCACATTTACTTGCCAAGGGATACGATTCATTGTTTCGGTCCGACAAAATACCCAAACAGAATAAATATGTTGCCAAAGAAAGTGTTTTCTCCTTCTGTTATTGCACAGTTGGCACTAGTTTACTTAGTAAGAGCACAGTTGTCCCCTGTACTAGCTACTTCCATGGAGGAGATTGTTCTTACCAAATGTCCGCTAGATTATTTTCCTGATACTGGATTGGGCCCCTACTCCTGAGAATAACCAGGGAAGTTGGCCCCCAAAGCCCATGAATTTCCAGGATATAGAAACCCAGGAACTATGCACTCCCTGTCTGCTCACCAGGGCCCCTTGACAACACAGCTTCTGCAGGAAATGTGAAACTAAAGCTCCCCCTCAGCAGACGCCCCTGACGTACCCCTCAGCATTCAAAACTGCCAAGGCACCAGAGTCACAAATGACCAAAACGTGGAACAATCATCATGCCATAATGGACAGATTACAGTGTTTGTTTTAAGTATGTTTCCTCACTGTATGCATTACGTAAACAGGTTTTGTGAGATTATAACCCAGGCGGCTCGAAGACGTGGGAGTTTGGCGTGAGAAGTGGGAAGGAGATTTGGAGGGGAAGGAGTGGTTCCTGATTAGGGTTCTCCCAATAATATTAATTCTGGAAGCCGCATAGAAATTAATTCAGGCCCAGGGCTCTGCTCTACCCCTCCCCTAGTACAATTAACATAATACCGGTTGTCCCTAAAAAAGATTAATTCAGGCCACTCCTACCTCTCTGCAAGATTCCATTGCTCCTGCCCTGCCCCCGCAGAGGTCCTTGCTGCATTGAGAGCCCTGACCCATGCTCCTCTCTAAGAAGCAGAGAAAGCAAGCCCAGGAGATGACCATTGTTTTCCACTAGAGGAGGGGGGAAGTTGGAGGGAGTGAGCTGGACCAGCACACTTCTCACAGCAAGGAGAGCCCACCCCCCTTGAAGAACCCAGCAGGTCAGGGTTCTTGCTCCCCAGCCCTTCTTTAAATAATGTGTGGTGGGGGGGGGCAGTCTGCTCACTCCCTATTCATCCCTCCCCACCCCAAAAAGCTTGTTAGTTCCTTGGCTCGCTTCTTCCCTGAGACCACTTGCCTGCTCGTCAGGGACAAGGAGCAGAGAAGAGCAGGAGCCCGAAAGCTGCCAGAGGAGAGTCTCCTTTTCCTTTCTCCACCCCTTGCTGTTGCTGCCTGTCCTTGCAGTGCATCACCTGAGAATGCAGTGCAGCAGGACAGGGAGGCAGAATCCTCTGTAATGCAGCACCTACCACACCATGCAGTACACTTAAAAGGTCTGGTCCCTGCAATCTTCTCAGCAGGGTGGCCCACATCATCAAGTGGGGCAATGGGTACATAATCTGACAAGGTCAAGCATTAAGTCTCAAAGGTTTTGGGAGCGAGTGACAATGATGCCACAGAGAGCAGCTATTCCCCCCCCCACCACCACCACCACCACAACCGTTGCCATCTTGGAGATACAAAAACCCAGGATATCAGGAATGATCCTGAGCCCCTAAAGCTGGACAGCTGGCAGTGTATACTGAGCACCCTTACAGATTTCCCAGTACAGCTACCTCAAAAAAGGGTGATCCTGGGTCCCTGTGCCCCCCCACCACCTCCCACACTGCATGTATCAAATCTTGTGAAGCGTACCTGCCACTGTGGCAATCTCTTCTTCTGTCTCCACCCCAGTAGAGCTCTGTCATGATTCAGTCCCCTCTGCATCTGTAAATAAGAAGAGGATGAAGGGGTCCTATGTGCAGATCTTGATTTAACTTTGTGACTGGAATTCAAATGAAGTGTTTCCATTCAGAAACTTCATCTGGCCTGCCCACAGTCCACACAATCCCACTAAAGGGAGCTATCACAAGCATATTTGTCTCTCAGGGTACGTCTACACTACCTGCCGGATCGGCGGGTAGCGATCAATCTATCGGGGATCGATTTATCGCGTGTAGTGTAGACGCGATAAATCGATCCCCGATCGCTCTCCCGTCGACTGCTGAACTCCAGCAGTGTGAGAGGCAGAAGCAAAGTCGACGAGGGAACCACGGCCGTCGATCCAGCGCCGCGAGGACGCGAAATAAGTAATTTTAATTCGATCTAAGATACGTTGACTTCGAAGTTGCGTATCTTAGATTGACCACACACCCCCCCCCAGTGTAGACCAGGCCTCAGTGCCCACCCTGCAAGCCTCCACATACACAAAAGCGAAAGCCCTGCTCTTCTTCTTCCTTCTATTTCAAAGTAAATAAAATGTGAGAGAACTCATCTGAAATCACAGCTATCATGGGATGGCTCTATTTTCTGTAACAGGTTTACTCTCTCTTCAGATATATGACGTTCCCCCTGCATCAGTTAAGGGGCCTGTGCATCCAGTCCCAATGGGAGAGGCAAAAGCTCAAGGGGTGTATGATATACCTCCTATAAAAGGGGTAAGTCTGATGCAATTTCAGTGGATCATACATGAATTTTCATGTCAGACTGAAGACGTGTTTAGACATAAAAGTGCATATGACACTGAATAAGGGTATTGAATTCTAGTACTTTAAACATTCCCTCAGGCTTTTTACACATTCATTAAAGCTTTGTAACATAATTACTAACTTCATGTAGGGTAACTATAAATTAGAGCTGAAGCTACATTTAGGAGAACCCTTAGGGTGACCAGAAAGCAAGTGTGAAAAATTGGGACAGGGGGTGGAGGGTAATAGGCACCTATATAAGACAAAGCCCCAAATATCGGGACTGTCCCTATAAAATCAGGACATCTGGTCACCCAATTCCCCCTCCCACTCCCCCGCTTATAAAAGATTTAATGTTCATTTTGATGGAAATGAACATTGTTTAATTAGTAAGAAAATTGTGACTTCATGAAATCCAGGGTGAAAGTCTGGCTCCATTGAAGTCAGTGGCAAATCTTCCATTGAATTCACTGTGGCCAGGATTCCCTACCCTCTCTGCCTTTCCCCTGAATTTTAATTTAATGCTAGTTCCATTGAAGACGTCTTTGCTATTTTACCTTTGCGCTCATGGCTTGCTTTCTGCATTTCAGATCTATGATGTTCCTGCATCTGCATGCAAAGAGGATACAGGGCTGAGGGAAAATTTGCTGGATTTCCCTTCTTCAGTGAACCATAATGCAAGACTAGAAGGAGTGTATGACATCCCTCCTCCCACTACCAAAGAACTTAGCAAGAAATTTACCTCTGACGTCCCTCTACCTAATGATTTATTGTCATGCAAACATAGCCTATATGACATTCCAGTGAGCCATCAAAATCAATTTCTTGGTCAGCAGATTGCTCCTCAGAAGGATGTATACGATACCCCTCGTGGAGTTCCATTTCCTGGACAGCAGTCGGGATTCAGCAAAAGTCTAAATCCAGAGGGAAGGGAAGGTGTGTATGATGTGCCACCACAGACTACACAAGACACTAAAGGATTGAAAGATGTGACAGATGGGATAAATAGATTGTCTTTCTCCAGTACGGGCAGCACTAGGAGTAACATGTCTACATCTTCCACAACTTCAAAGGAGTCTTCTTTTTCAGCCTCGCCTTCTCAGGACAAACGATTAATACTAGATCCAGACACAGCCATAGAGAGACTTTATTGGCTTCAGCAGACAGTGGAGACTGTGGTCTCTAATCTCATGGCCTTTGTTAACACAGACTGGCGGTCTTATGGGTACATGGAGAAAAATATCAATGAAATCCACACTGCCGTGGAGAAAGTAGAGCAGTCATTGGTGGAGTATCTTCAGTTTGCAAAAGGAGCAACAGCCAATGCTTCCTGTCTCTCAGAAATCAATCTCCATAACAAAATGAGAAGGGAGCTGCAAAGACTGGAGGATTCTCACCAGATCTTAACCCAGACCAGCCATGACCTGAATAGTTACAGCTGGTCATTGAACATCTTGGCGGTCAACAAATCCCAAAACAAATGTGATGATCTAGACCGATTTGTTATGGTGGCAAGGACAGTCCCAGATGATGCCAAGCAATTGACCACCACTATCAGCATCAATGCAGAGATGCTATTCAAACAGGTATCAAGCAGTTCACGTTTAAAGAATGTTTCAGAGAACATTATGAACACAACTGACTATGCATACAACAGCCCCCAGAATCAGTTGTTACACCACAGAGAGAAAACTCAGGACCACGGCAGTTCTTTGCCCCCATTTCTGAGTAAAGACCAGCATCCCCCTGGTATCACTAATGAGGGCTCTGAGAAGAGCTGGATGGATGATTATGATTACGTTCACCTACAGGTAAGCGAGCCAGACACATTGTTCTGCTCAATGCAGATTAAGATTTGTTGCATGCTCCTTTCTGTAAGAACCCGTCATGACAAGACAGGAAGCAGACTGTCATATCAAGATACACTTGAAATTACTTTTCTTTTTTTTTAATGGATGAATATCAAAAGTTGCCTAAGAAACTTCATTCAGCCTAGACTGCACATTGGGTACAGATTTTAAAAATTAGTTTGAATCCCAAGAATGGGATTCCCAAGAATGGGATTCAAATGGGACTACTCTACATAATGGCTGTAGCCTATCACCAACATAACATTGTCCGTTTCCTCTTTGTTCTTTTGTGGGTGTGCTACAAATTAAGGTGGCAATACAAGAAGGTACATTTGCCACACTGTCCACGGGCATTTAATCATTAACTTTAGAGAATTACCGTTTGACACAATATCTATTTTTATCTTGTGCCAAACAGGGAAAAGAGGAGTTTGAAAGACAACAGAAAGAGCTTCTAGAAAAAGAAAATATCATCAAGCAGAACAAGATGCAGCTGGAGCATCATCAGGTATGTCCAGTCAGACACAGCTGTCAGACTTGGAAGGCAACGTGCAGGCCATTTTGTACCATGAGATGTGTCAGCCGAATAAAAGAGAAGGAGCTCATCTCTCAGCCACTTAATGGCGGCTTAGCAACAAAGGAGGCAAGGGTGTCCACTCTCCCCTCAGAGTCGGAGGGTTAACATGCGGGAGAGTTTCCCACCATCCTCTCTTATAGATTTTCTTCAGTCCTGGAGGCACTAAAGAAAACAGGAACCTCTATGACAATTTAGCCCTTTCAGACTCTTGGAGATAGCCTGGGAGTCACCATCGTCATCTCGTTCATTACCTTGTTGCCATTAGATAGCAAAACTGCAGCTCTTCCTGTGTATTTGAGAGAGATCTCCTCTGCTGGGAAGAGATCTGTCCCCTGAAAGCACATTCAAACATGTCTGTTCAAGAGGTTAATTCTTTTTATAGCACCTAGAAGCCCCTCTGTACTAGGCACAGTATATACACATAGGCTGCATCTACACTACACACCACTGGTGATAGCATGTAGGGGATATGAAAAGCAGGCTCCATCCACACTGGCTGAACCTTTCCCAGCTGTCTCCCCCTGCTGGCAACTTTCCCTGCTGCCTCCCTCCGCCCGAGTCTTTCCATGTGGTGGGAAAAGGCTCTAGCAGCTGAGAGATGGCAGCACCTTTCCCCAGTGCCTCCTGGCTGCAGGCGTCTTTCCCTGAGGTGGAGAAGGGCTCCAGCAGCGGGGAGCTGGTAGAGCTTTTCCCTGCAGAAGTGGGAGGGGAAGGCTCCAGTCATGAGCAGGCAGCGGGACACTACACTGCTAAAAACAGCAGTGTAGATAGGGAGGCATGGCCTGGGCAAGTAGAGAGCATATAGGGTGTGCACTTGTATACATACCCACACCCTTCAGGTGTGTCTTTACTCTATTTGCCAAAGCCCAGGCCTCATGGTCTACGCTGCTATTTATACCTGTGCTGGGGGGCTACACACATATATACTCTACCCACCACCAAAAAGAAGCATGCAGCTTAGACATACCCATAGTAAGAGACAAGTCCTCTTCCACAGAATTTATATAGGAGGGGAAATAGAGGCACAGAGCGGTGAAGTGACTTTTCCAAGGTCACATAGCAGGGAAGTGGCAGAGCCAGAAACTGAACCTCGGTCTCTTGAGTCCTAGTCCAGTGCTGTATCCACTGGCCCACACAGAATACAAGTATAGGTTATGCACACCCCCTGTCTAAATACGTACATCACTACATTAAAAAAAAAATCTTAGTATAACTTTAAAATTATTTTTTAAACACCAAAAAGATCAGGAAACAAAATGTTAATGCTGTCATAGTAATAGTAATTCGCCAACATGCTGACATAAAATGTACAATTTTCATAAATATAAAATATTAACAAATTTAGTAACCAAAAATACTCCATATGTGCAATGTGCGAGTGGTAACCTTGATTTTTGCATTTCCTGACTTGTGAGCATTTAAAGCTGTAATCTTAACATAACATTAATGTAAGGTTTTCTATTTAAATTTCCCTGTGTTTTTGTTTGCTTGAAGAGCAATGAGGAGCTCAAAGATTAAGGTTTGATAGCTCATGATCATGCATAGATAGAAGTGTCAGCTATTTATCATAGGAGAGATTCTCAACTGGATGGACAGCAACTGTTTCTGACTCTGTAGTGTCCCGATATATCAGTTCTTAAAACCATTATCTTTTTAGATATAGCAAAGCTTTTTTAGATTGTTATGACTTCTCTGGTCCTGTGTAGTTGGACTCATGGTAACTAAAGCACCTGATTTTACAGGAAGTAGGGGCCAAAGATATCCCAATAAGTTTTTAGAAGTCTTCAAAAATGTCTACAGTAGTTTTCCTATATGTGACATATACAGATATACATGATGGTACACTCTGGTATAAAGGATTAATTGGCTCCCACTTAGATGAGCTATGTAAGTTACTTGTGAGTAACATACCCAAACCAAATCATTTATACACTATGGGGATAGTATTTAGAAACTGTGCTTGCAGCTAGTGTACAGGGTATTAAGAAATCAGTGTGAAATGTATTTGCGTTTATCAAAGGCAGGATAGGTTTGTGAATTATAACGAGGTGATGTGATGTGTTAATAGTTCTTTGAAGAGACTCTTCTCTTTGCCGTTCAGATCAATCAGTTCCAGCAACTGGAGCAAGAGATCACAAAGCCTGTGGAGAATGACATTTCAAAATGGAAGCCGCCTCAGAGTCTTCAAACTGCAAGCAGCACTGTGGGCTCTCAAGACCGAGAGCTGCTCTTCTTTTATTCTGACCAGTGCGAGACTCATTTTGTGTCTCTCCTAAATGCCACTGATGCCTTTTTTAACTGTGTCAGTGCTGCTCAGCCACCAAGGATGTTCGTCGCTCACAGCAAGTTTGTCATTTTAAGCGCTCACAAACTGGTGTTCATCGGGGACACGCTCACAAGGCAAGTGACTACTCAGGATATCCGCAGCAAAGTGATGAACTCCAGCAACCAGCTGTGTGAATTGCTAAAGAACATTGTTATGGCAACCAAGATGGCTGCTTTGTATTATCCCAACCCAGCTGCCCTGCAGGAGATGGTCGACCGAGTAACAGAACTGTCTCATCACGCACAGCTGTTTAAACGCTCTCTGGTACAGATGGCATCATTCTGAAACAAACAAAATGGAATCCAATCAATGGACAGTAAAAATGATTTTAAAAAACTGGAAATATGTCCTAGTTTATGTAAATGTTATCAATTTTTGTAAATATTTTATATGAAATATTTTAAATACATTTTTATGGATTAGAAAATCTAAAATTCAGGGATCTGGGGGTATATCTGTTTCCCTATTATGTTTTTAATATACATATATATATGTATACACTGCATATATGTATATGTTGCTACATTCCATAAGACACCATTATGTAAGCACCTTAAAAGTATGCATCAGTTAAGTGGTGCATATCACTGTATATACTGCCTGGTTTTCAATATATCCGTTAATTGGATGCTGTCACATGGACAAGGCTGGCAAATCTATTTGTAGCAATTCATGATGTAGATGTAATAGTTCTAATGGAACCCCAATCCCTTCCCAGAACCTACTTGATTTGAATTAATTTAGTAAAAAATTAACTGTACCCTCAATTTTATTTTGCATACAGGAGTCATTTTGAGCAGTGTATATATATACGTTACATAACAGACAATAAACCAAGGCTCAAACCAGCGGGGCAAAAATCATCCTCATATTGCATGATAGACAGAACCTCCTCACGAGGAGCAGGAAGGATTGTATATATTTAAAAATAACGTCTTAATACCACAAAATATTTTAAAAACCTGGAAGAATTCCCAACAATATAAATTCACATATGTTTATCCCACCTTTCCTTGCATTTGCAAATAATGATATCTGTCAGACTTTAAAGATGTATTTTTTTTTTTGCAGACCTAGGGACTTACTCAGAGTTGCTGAATGTCCCTAAATCTTGCTGACATCAGTGGATTCTGAAGGTACACAACATCTCCCAAGATCAGGCTTAAAGAAAAGGCATGGCATCATAATTCCCCATGAAAAGGCTTAATTTGCCATCAATTTTGGAACATCTGATTAAAACATCTGTAATTTTAGAGGAGAAAATAGCACTTATCTCTATGACAAATTCTTATGAATCATTTGCACTTTTGCAGCTCTGAGCTTCACTCAGATTTTGGACTTTTTCCAAATTTTCCTTCCCGACCTACGGACACACCATGGGTCTCCTGGGCTACATAGTCACCAAAGCAACACCCTGTATTTAAAGGGGTAATTCCATATGTAGTGGACACAACAATGACTTGACCACAGGTCACATTACATGACCACTCCTAACTGTGGAGTAGTGGCAATCAGGCTCCAGGGAATGAGGTCCAGGTGATGCTCAGTGGACTTCTGATTTAAAACAAAAATATTGTTACCCAAGTTTCCTTGTGATAATTCAGGCTACAGTCCCAAGTCTTTATATATTTCTGAGTGTTTGCATAAGAGACCAGCCTGGTGGTAAATACAAAATCACACCATGTAGAATACCTAGTCAGGAGGCACTTAAGTAAAGTCTTTCTTCACAAAAGGATGTCTGGTATTTTTGTTCCAGCCTATGTCTAAACACGTTCTCCAGTGCATGCCTCATTGCAGTGCATTTGTTTATCTTGGATAACAGAACTGCTTAACCAGCAAATGAAGTTATGCTTTCCTAATACATTGTCTCAGAGTGATGACTGCTCATCACTGAGAGTTACCATAATGTTGTTTCCAGAGGGCTCCCATTAAAGCCAGTGGGAGTTCAGAGGGACTTCAGCAGCAACAGAATCATACCCAGCACTTGCATCAGATATAATATTGAAAGCTCTTCTCCGTTTTACAAGAGGAGAGGAATAATTATCCCATTATAAACAAAATAGGATTGCCAAAAGATACCAAAGAATCCACTTGAACCTGTTTTGTATTTGTGTTATTTGGGATTTTTCTGTTTTTTTCCATTGTAATATTTTTAGAAAGTGACAAAGTGTTTTAAACTTAGCCATCATGTCAATCACTTTTGAGTTTTCAAAAGGGGGATTCCTTTTATGGCAAACTTATATTATTATTTACTTGTTACCTTGTAGAGAGTATTTTTAAAATCATTAAATATACAAAGGCTTTTTTTTTAAAAAAAATTATGTTAACTGGTTTTATTCCTCCTTTGCAATTCTCTATGAACTGTGGAAGCAAATGTTCCAGGCTAAAGCTGTTGTGAGACAGAGTGCTTATGTTCCCGCACTCTGTGTAGAAAAGTCAATGAAACAGTAATTAAACAAGCTGCTATCAAGAAAGAAGAAACTAACTAGAAAGGGTTTAGGGGAATTTGGTCTGTAGTGATCATTCTTTATAGGGTGAAGTTCAAATCATCCATAGAAAACCCAAGTAGACTGGCTTTTGTATGAGTAACCAGTGTGGAGATTGAGGGGGTGATGAAAATCTCTACTAGTCCAGAGGAAGTTGGTGGAGCACTTGTGCAATTGGCCTGCAGCGGCTACCATGCCTCATAGATTATAAAAACAGCTACAGGCTGCTGCTCTCCTCATCTCCCTGCAGGGTTTATGGTCAGTGGATGCACAGTATTTGTGGGCCCATTTGGCCACTTCCCTATTTCATTCATGAAGCCCTGGTGTATCATCCCACAGAGACTGCAGATGTGTAGCACTGTTCTATGGAACAGGTATAATCAGAGGGAGAGGACATGTCCTCTCAGCTTTATACTATCCTGTTAACGTACCCATCAACGCAGCTGCAGGACTCATTCCATCTCATGCCCAATTCTATCCCTGCCCTCCAATCCAACTTCTGTGATTACATCTATGCTCTATGCCACATGAAAGGCTGAAGAGCCACTCCTCATAGTCTGTATTCCCCCAGCCCCAAGCAGGTGGAACCATAGCAGTTCAGCTGTGGTTCAGGCCTTGCATGTCTGGGGTGAGGAGTCAAGGGCCCAAATGACTATGTGGCTTTAAGGATCAAAAATTCCTCTCCAAAAGTTATGCCCTATTGGTGCTGACGGGCTTGCCTCCCACTTACATACCTATTGAGCTTCATTGATTGTGAGGATGAAAGCAGAAGCAGTGTCTTTGTTTCCAAAGTTAGGAAAGAATTTTGCACCTTTCTGAGAGCTACTTTCTGGAGTGTGACAACAGTTGGCTGTCAGTAAAGAAAGTCCCATCTTGTGTGAGTGCAAATTAATGCCTACTTCAGCTTACTCCATTCCTTGCAAAATGAAGAGGTTGCTTCTATGCACATTTGATTTAGAAACCTCTGGGTTTGGTGGATTTGAACTCCGTGATTGGTGCAGGCAATGCCTGTTTTGATCACAATCTATAAGACGACTCCACCGTATTCTGCTTCTAAATTTAAAAAACCTAATAATAAAGGGATTGGATAACTGAAGGAATTGGAAAGGGGAGCCACAGCCTTTTATGTCTGAGTCACTGTGTCCCAGGACAGCAGCAGATTAAGCTGCTGCCATGTGACAACAGCTTGGTGGCCAACATGAAATGGTTTCTGGTTTCTAATGAATAGATGCCACATCACAAAACAAAAATGCTTAAACACATCTAGCTCTTTACCTCAGAGCCCTGCATAAACATTAATTCACAAAAAACATTTGGCATTACTCACCTCTTAAGTTCAGCTACTGGAGGGATAAAGAGCTACAGTACTCCAATACTGTTCATTCCGGTTTAGAGACGTCACCAGCTCCAGGGATATTCTTTATTTTTAAAATGGAGGATATTGCTAGCAATATTTTAGATCATTGGACCTCTGAATGACCCGCTGGCTGGCAATTGCAGCACAGGCATTGAGGATTAAATGGACCAAGAGGCTGACTCACACCCTCAATATTAAACATGATCTTGTTTGTGAGGCTGCTTTGATGACCTCTGCTGCCCATGCTGAAGGTGAACTTGTTGCCAAACTTCATTGTCAATCTAGCATCTTTGCTGGCTGTTTTAAAATTTATTTTCCCTGTAGAAGCAATGAAAGAGCGGCCATATTTTTGTGAATGCCTTGTACACCCCCATATTAATGTTCTGCTTCATGTCATGGTTTTCTCTTGGGTGGGCTGTAGCCTTCCGTTCTCTAGACTCTCTCACACTCTCATCTCGTCACTCTAACCAGCATTCACCAGCTTTTCCCATTGCTCTGATGGCATCGTTCTCACCGCTCAGTTTCCCACACTGGTGCACTGTCTCTTTCTATACAAAGTGCGAACACCAGTTAAGGCACTGCCTCTCTGTGCATCTCACCCCTCTTCCCATATGCATTCTGCACAATTATCACACCTTGCTCCTCAGCTTGTCTCCTACTCCTATTCTCATCTTCATGCCTGTTCCCCATATTGCTTCCTTTGCCAGGAACATCATCACTCTGTGACAGTAGCCAGGGTATAATCTGGACTGTTGAACAGTGGTATCCCTTTAACTCTCTAGCCTGGGGTGCCTTTAACACTGCTTTGCTGTCAGAACAGCCACTCCTGGTCTGTTCACACAACCTTCAGGATGCAAATTCACTCCCAGCTAAATACATGAGACAGTCACTCATGAATTGCATACAGGGCGACACCCGTAAATTCTTAGTCCCAGACTTTCCCCCAGAAATGTGCGTCTTGTACTGTCCAGCACACAACTGAACAATTCAAGCTCATTTCATCAAAGAAAAATTATATATGCACTCAGGGCCGTCCTTCCCCATACGCAAAGTATGCGGCTGCATAGGGCACCAGGAACTTTCCTGGTGCTCCAGCCCCTGCGCCCCAGCCCCACCCCGCCCCTGTTCTGCCCCAGCCCCACCCCACCCCCACTCCATCCCTTCCCCAAAGCCCCTGCCCCTGCTCTGCTCCACCCTGCCTCTTCCTGCCCCAGCTCCGCCCCAGCCCCGCTCCCACTCCCCTGAGGACTGAAGCAGGGCCCGGCCTGCACTCCCTGGCAGCAGGAAGTGCAGCGGCCTGGCCCCAGCCACGCCGCCAGTGAGTGCTGGGGAGTGGTTCCCCCTTGCCTCCCAAGCCAGCCCCCCACGCAGAGGCTTGGGGCCCCACAGACACCCCCACAGGGGGGGCTGCGTAGGGCCCCAGAATAACTAGGGACGGCCCTGTATGCACCAGCCTTGTTATCTCACATCTCACTGTGACAGAGTGGGGATTTCCCCTTGTTATGTTGTATGTGAGCCTATGTGAATCTTACTGTTTTGCATGAATGCTGTGTGTGCTTCAGTTTCTCTGTGTATTGCACCAATGTCTAGGTGGTGGGAATAAGGGTGTGTGACTTTTGCAGGGGCTGCTCCAGCTGCCTGCATGGATGCTATGGGCACCCCTTCAGCCCTGGGTCCCAGCAAATCTAATGCTAAGATTACAAAGGCGACAATGAGGCAATGGGGCTCAGGCTGCAGCTTCCTCTCCCCACACCCGGGGTCATGTAGTAATTTTATTGTCAGAAGCGGGGGTTGGGTGCAATGAAGTTTGAGAACCCCTGGTATAGATAGTCAGACCTCCTTCTTGTGAGCCAAACATCCTTACCATCCTGCCCAAATACTACTTTCATCCAGTTTCCCAGTCTCCTCCTCCACAACTTTCCCTTCCTCCATGTCAACTTTTATAATATTGAGTTTGTAAGATTCTCTCACTGTCCGATTCACATTTTAATATATTTTAGCACTTTTCTGTGTCTGTTATAGTATCTTCACATTCTACTTTGGTTACATTTAAATAGTACACTAGATTGCAGTTGTAAGGGCAGGGATTGTCTTTTCTCCATTCTTTAAATAGGGCCACGCAAAGGGGCAACACAGATCCCTGAAGTTCTTCCTGTCATGCTAGTGCTTAAGGAACTAGTGCGAAGGTATTTGAAATATACACTATCTTTGATCCATTAAATTATTATTTTGGCCAAAATAATGGATATTTGATATCTTGAAACAGAGTTCCCCAGATAGTATTTGGGGATTTTTATTTATTTATTTTAAAGTCTTGAAGGGATTCTCATTTAGCCATTGACACCAGATTGCACCAAGGACTCATGTCAGAGCATCCGTCCATGCCATAGTTGAGAGGCCTAGATGTAGCTCTTCAGAGCCAATCTGTACCATGAGTAGTGCAGCAAGAGGTGCAGCTGCCACTTTAGTGTCCTCACAGAAGTGTTTGTGGCTCACAGAGAAAGAAGAATCAAGGTCATGAGTCAGCTGGTTTGGCTGGCCTGAAGTATAAGATAAGGAACACATACATTGTTTCATCTCAAAAACATTAACTTTCTGGTCTTGCCTCTCTTGTGAGCAAAAGGCCTTAAAAAGGGGTCATTTTCCATACAGATTCCCAAAACCTATTAACTGGCACCTTTGGTAATTTCAATCCATTAAGAGTTGCTCACCGAACTGCCTTCAACACATTTCCTTTACTTTTAATTAAACTAGAGCTATGTTTTGACTGTGGACAGCATCATTAGCAATGTCTGATTATTCTGGGCATGCTGAGGCCCATTGGTATTGCACTGAAAATTCAGACATGCTGCCCTCGTACCAGATACCTGAAAGTGCTATCAAGAGATTTGTTCAGCAGAAAGCAAATAAAGTACTCTGAGCGATATACCACCACTTAAACTTATTTCAACAACCTTCTCTCCATAACATCAGTCGCTATCTTCTTTTGTTCCAGCTGTTGTGTCAGAAGCAGAGTGCGCTTTGTCCTGTCATCTGTCCAACTCATTAGATAGGATGATTCTGATAATTTAGATCTCATGGGAAATGACTGGGCCTCCTGAAGTGAACAAGCCCTAACAACTTATCGCATGAAAGTTAAGGTGAGAAAAGAGAAAATCAGGTCATGATCAGGGCTGCCTGGGGGGGGGGGGGGAAGTGGGGCAATTTGCCCCGGGGCCCCGCAAGTCCTGGCCCGGCAGCAGTCCGGGTCTTTGGCAGCAGGGGCCCCCGTGAGCTCTGGCCCAGCGGCGGTCCGGGTCTTCGGCGGCATTTTGGCAGCGGGGGGGCCCTTCAGTGCTGCTGAAGACGCGGAGCAACTGAAGGGCCCCCCGCCGCCGAAATGCCGCCAAAGACCCGGACCACCGTCGGGTGAGTACAAGCGCCGCAGCTCCCCCGCTTTGCCCCAGGCCCCCGAATCCTCTGGGCGGCCCTGGTC